TGTGAATATCAGTTTCTTAGCCTTGAGGGATTCTTGTTCTGATCAATAGCAAGTTATTAGTTGCTCCATAATGACTTTCCTTTCTGCTCAGGGCCAGAAGGAAATCTGAAATGCTCATGGTACCGGTTTGAATGGGCTCTAGTGTCACATAATTTAGAATACTGCTATTTATTAAACGTGCCATTTCAAAGTTCCACTGCATTTCATAAAGTGATGAGGGGAAGGACTGCAGACTGCTCTGTGGCCACTGGTGTGACAGTGTTGAGATTAAACTTGAGATAACTGGAGTTTCAAACATGCTCATTATTCAATTTGTTGCTTATAAACCTATTTTCTCAATGGGCTTCTTACTATGAGGAATGACGTCCTCCACAAAGTCATTTTAATTGTCTCAATTTGGAGATCTCTGTTTTTGTGTTTTGCATTTATCATGGTTTTAACAAAGGAAAACTTCAAGAGAATCATTTCAATCAATCAGACTTTGTCAAATTAGGAGTTGATATTAAAATGTGATGAAATCACACCCACCACCGGTTTTTTATTTGAAACCAGGTTTTCAGGGGCTTTAACGATTCTGTTAATAGGCTAAATTTTCACATTTTATAGAGGACTTGCAGGAAAAGTGATGGAAAATCTCACGATCTCACACAAAGCTCCTGTGGAAGATTTGAAGAAAATGTCCACACTTGAGTGCACGTCTGAGGGACCTTAAGATTTCTCGCAGTCTTTTCTGAATTGTAACTCCTGATCGCACTAAGCGTAAAGTTAATGTAAAACCATGTTGAGAGAGCAGTATCGTGTTTAACATGCAGTCTCTTAGCAGTGCTGGATTTCTTTATTTTAAGCACTGTCTGTACACTACTTGCCAGATATGTGAGTTAGCTTTCTGATAAAACACGAAAAAAGGAAAAGTCAGTAGTGTTCCTTACAAACGGCTGAGTCAACATGACACTGTTTGTGTGAAAGTGACAGATAATTGACTGCTGGTGTATTTCCTGCTGATTTTCCCTCACTCTTCCAGGCAGTTGGCGACAGGACACAACCTGACCCACATCTCTCACCAAAATAAAATGTGATTTATCTGTGCTGCAACAATTTGGCCTCCTTCTGAATCGGCAGCATGTGCTCCCGAGCTCGGCTCCGACCCGAGGGCTGAGCAGCTGCGCTATCACTCAGCTCATCCAGTGTGACAGCCCGAAATCTAAAGTGCAACAGCTCAGTCATGGGAATTTATCATCTGTAAACACACATATCACTGAGCAATCGGCGGCTGAGCCTGATACAAGTCGAGCCGCAGTCGACACAGTCATAAGGACAACTACTCCCCAAATAGGGATCATTGGATTGTGAGCTAATAGCTCGAGTGGCTGCCTGCCAGGTAGATGCACCTGCGGCTCTAAACCGACTGTGTCATCGCTGCAGTTAAATCATTAGATACGGCTGAGGAGGACCAAGAGAACCATTAAACAACAGCTGCTGAGAAACAACCTTTAGTCTCAGCAGCAATAAAGCAGTAGACGTGAGTCGACAGCTTAACTTGTTCTACAGTGAAACACTTTACACGTTGTTTTACGGTGGTAGCAAAACAGCAAGAGATTATCCAGTTAAATTACATTTATACACAAACAGAAGACAGACTACAGGATGTCTCATTCCATAGACTGTATATAAAAAGATGGATGATAAAAATCATGGTCACCCCCTGGTGGTTGGATGCAGTACAGGTCATAGAGTTTCTGATTCTTTCTATGATTTTCGAGTGAACCTGGTGAAACAACAGATTGAAGTTGAGTGCATGTATTTGTGGGACCTCGATATTATGGCTCCATCTGTTATCACTACTCTGCAGACTCCAAGTGAAGTCACCAGGGACGGAGGGAGTGTCCATAGTCGGGATATTTTGGCGCAAGGGGAGGAAGTGGACATGCATCATCCATCGTTATATAAAGTCATTATGACACCAACAGATTTCTGAAAGGACGCTCGATACTTTGGGTTTGGATTTAACAGACCCCATCATCATAGTCTTAATTTAATGGTGCTAAATGAATTACTGAATAAATGCAGATCAGAGTGAAAGGCTGAAACAATCACACACGCAAAGGTCTTGTCCAAACACACGATCAGTTAGGAAAGAAATATCTTCAACATTCGTAAGCTGCATTTACTGTTAACCGATGACATATATGAGAAAAGTGTCAGCCAGTCGTCTGATTACACATCCACAGAGCATTATTAGTGTTTTCAGTCTGGCTTCATTGCACCGGCTGAATTTGAGTCGAATATTTACTCGCATTTAACTCAGTTTTGGTCTCCACCAACCCCCCGAGGGATGTGTCCGACTTAAGCTGTTAAATGCTCCACTGTGTTCACCAGCTAGTCACTAACTTGCTGTAAAGTGGCGTCTGAGAGCTTTTCCCATGAAGACAGCTGTTTGCTGCATCTGGAGACGATGCCGATGATTTGAGCCATGGGACTAAATCAGAAACAGTGACTTTGCTCGTCAGAAAACCAAAACATGTTGAACAGACTCAAGGGCTGGGCTGATGGGAGTGATGATTTTCCTTAGATTTGTCAGTACAAATGTCCCCCGTTAGATTATACAGCGTTATTTGATTCACCATTATTATAAACATTTGTCATCAGTGCTGCTAGAACCATGACTAAAGTGAGCGTGTGGATACCTGATGGTCGACTGGACTCGGACAAAGACTTTGAAATTTAGTTTTTACATTTTATGAGCACGTAATTAAGGAAAACATCAGGCTCTGGTCAGATTCTGAAACAAAAAAGAAGATGCCTTTTGGGTTCAAGTTGGGCTCGATTTATTTTCTCTCAGACTCGGAGGGATTGAGGTAGAAAATTGCAGCGTCAATTAAATTCAAAACAACTTTATTTGTCCCCAGAGGGCGATTCTAAGGAAAATAGAGCATGTCAAAAAACAAGTAAAGACAACGCTACAGTGCAATGTTCATGGACAATTAAAACTCAATGCAGCATATTAAAAATTATAAAGTGAGAGCAGTGTGCATGAATGTAAAAGAAAAGTGAACAGGATAACAGTTGTGAAAACTGCTAACATAGATAAATACTAATTTATGAAAGTGAGCCACACTCCGGTAGAAACGTGGACTATTTTGTGGTTTAACATAAACAAATATGATTGTTAGATCAGTAGCTTCTGATTTCCACAAAACTGAAATATGTACATGTTTTACTCTGATTTATTCTGTCATATCAACTGGTGCATAACAGCACTTAACACAAAGGGTTAAATCCTCTTTATATCATGATTGTCACTAACTCTGTCACCAAATCGTTCTCTGCTCGGATGCTACAGTGTGATCATTTACAGAAGAATCAATTCACAAACAGTTCCTATTCCACTCGTCCTCTCAGGCGGCTCTGTGAAGCATCGTCAGCCACTTTGGAGCTAAACGGTGAAGCCGCCGTCAGCGCCAGGAGCTCTGACCTGTTCTCCAGCTCTCTGGCCCTCGTTGGAATCTCCACTGAAACATAATTTGTAACAGCCCCGCCATTTCTGTGAGAACCACTCATCTGAAACAAATCCAGTGGCTCCGAGTGATATGCAGATACAGATGGTGCAGCAGAACCAACTGTTGTGTGAGTTACTGCCGTGATGGACAATCTGCTAAACATACTTCATGCAGAAAAACCGACCACGTTATTGCCGCTAATCGCGATGCCAGCTGATTTCTCTTCACTCACATACCAATCAAAGGACAACTGTATCCGCCCGCAGTGTCGAGGAAGGCTTGAAGATGCTCCGCTCAGTACGTGACAAGTCAACAAGTGGATCCAGCCCGACAGCAGCCTGAGGTCGAGCTCTTGTCAACATCATGATCTGACGCTCAAAAGACTCATGCAACCTGTCAGCTGCTATCAGAGCCTCCATTCGCACGCTACTCCACATTAGCCATCAGCTAAGACGGAACAATGTGCCGAAAAGGTCACAGTTCACAGCCACTTAACGCTGTCAACAGACGTCTATGTCAATTCATTCTCACGTTGAAAAAACATGGGCGTTTCACTTTGAACTAAATCTATTATGAACCTATCATAATATATTATAATCAAATATGATGGACCAAATAATGACGTGTGTGTATTTGTATGTGATTTTCAGAAATAAACAATACAGAGTTTCTCTCAGGGCAGAGAAATTATCTATGGTTGCCGATGGAACATAAATTCATATCTTAATGAATTATTAGGAGTGTAATTCATTCAGAATCTATAGCTGAAATGTTCACAACATGCTGAACGATAAAGGTATTCCATCACCATCAATGATCTTTAGTGAGATCTCATCCATGCCAATAATCCACAGTAAACTAAAGTATGTCAGTGTATTTTTTTCTACTGTAAATCACGAAAAATCCTGCTATTAAAGATGAAACTTCAAAATCACGGAGCTAAAATGTCGACTTTCAGTGTTACTCTGTATCTAAAGGGCATGGCGCTGTTATAAACATGATCCGTTTCCTCTGAAGTCAAACAACGCATCATAAATATCTGTGCTTACTTACGTTCGAATCCCCCGGTGTCCAGAGAAGAAGATGCAGTTTGGGGGAGACAGATGCTTTCGGCCATGTATTATTCACCCTGTTAATTCCACAGCCCTGCCAAAGAGAAAACAAGAGTGTTTATTTTATTCATCTTTTAAAATTCACAAATAGATTTCTGCAAAATGTTCCTGATTAAAATGGATTGCTGGGCATCAAATATGCATTTCAGATGGGACATGAGGTGTATTTGAGTTTTGATGCAAAGCAGGCTAGCTGTCCCCCCTGATTCCAGTCTTTATGCTAAGCTAGGCTACCTGCCTCAAATCTTTAGAGCCATATACATGAGACTTGAACCAATGTCTCCATCTAAAGCAGAAAAAAATTAATTTGATGAACAATTTCTTAAAGCGGTTATGGATTTGATAAATACGCTGCACATGTATTAAACTGAAGCCAAGCAAAGACAACAGTTTGCTGGGCGTCATTTTTGTCTTTCAGGAGCATTTACTGCACTGACACGGAGAACCGAAGATAAATAAATAAAAGCCGCCACAGATGAGCTGGTCGAAGCTGCATTTCAAACTCGATGATGTTTAAACTCACTCACACGGACGGACTTTTCAGACCGTCCCGCGGAACGAAGCACTCTCCCAGAATGCACCGAGATTTGGAGGGGGGGAGGGAAGTGGCCGAACAGATTGTTATGTCACCATTAGGGAGCTGCAATAAACTCATATTTCTTTTGCATTTTGCATGACTGGAGGGCTTTCCACTCTCGCCTGTCTGCTCCCCTCACATCAGCCGCCCCGTAAGTGGAGCAGTTCGGGGCTGCAGGTTTTGCCTCGCTGCAGCCAGAGTGTTGTCTGTGCCAGATAGCATTGCATGATTACACTCAGCAGCGCACAATTTTGTAGACAGCGTTATAGCGGGAGAATAAAACGTCTCAGGCCTCATTAAACACCCACATATTTGGAAATTAGAAACCAGTTATTCACCATTGAGAGGGGAGAATAGGGAGATCAAAATTAAATCTTTTGAAAACGCACTGTTTACAAGCCATGAGAGAGAAGGCGGCTTCGTGAAAATGGAGTGAACAAAACCTTCATTTTTGTTTAGTGCATTTGGATAAGTACAAGCTGCAAAACATATCATTTTCTTGATTTCCCTGTTTCCAAACTCAGCCATTGTTTGCATGTGTCATGGTTTTTTGTTTGTGATAAACAGAGACAATCAAGTGCGTAAAATGTATTGTGTTTCCTCTGAGCTATAAAACACTAAAGCTGTTCTGACAGATACTTTTTTTTTTTTGCCAGGAGCTGATGAAAACAGGACAACAATGCTCTCTCTGCTGCACGGCTTTAAATGTGGCTGCACTGTAAAGAGAATGCACACTGTCATGTTAATTCTGTTCACATTTTTAAGCGGTACGCCGAAATATACGGCTCAAACTTTCCCGGCTTTCACATGAATATTTGACCAGTTGCTAAACCTTCATCGTCAGACAGTATATTTTAGGTCAGCATAACCATAGTTAGGCATTTGGTCTCAGAAGCCTTTTCCAACAAATCCAAACATTGGGCAACTTTTATCAAATATGTGTTGCCTCCTTAAAGCATTGGTGGAGAAGTATTCTGATCCTTTACTAAAATAAAAGTACTTTCTTCACACTTTAAAAACAATGCAGTACAAGTAAAAGTCCTTCATTCAAAACCTTGCTAAAGTAAGTAATGTGTTTAAATATATGAAAAGTTAAAACCTCAAATTTGTAATTAACAGTTCTGGAGTAAAAGTACGTAGATTCAAATATCTCAGGCATGAAGAAGAATAAGAAGCAAAGTGAGATCTTGTAGTTTTGAGCCTTCACATCCTCAAACGGCCTAAAAAGAAAAATAAAAAACAAAATCAATCCAAACTTTTAAAAAGGGGGTTAAAGGTAAAACTTGAAGCTAATCTGGAAACAACAAATGTTTTGTCAAGAAGCGGAAAAAAAAAAAAGAAAAAATCAACACCATGTTTCAGCAAAAGTAAACAAGTGGTCAAATCGTGCACTAAATCTCTGTGGTTTCAGTCCCAAACAACCTTCATCTCTTTGATATTAGACGTACGGATGAAAGAATTGTGTGCGATGCGACAGGCCCGTATGATACCCGCTCTGTGATCCCACACGGACTCGTTGAAAGATTACATTACCAGCCTTTCTCAAGTGGGCATTTCTGCTGCTCGCCTCTTCCTCGTGCCTCTCTGGGTTTAATTTGAGCCAAAAAACAGCCACAGGATACAACTTCCAAGGCATTAGCATTCTCAGCAGTCAGCCGGCAAAATATCAGATCTGGCTAGTTTAAAGTGACAGGGTGCTTAAACTACAGTACATAGGGGTAAGAAACAAGCGCCTCCCGCTAACTACAAACACATCATGTAAGGCTCATGCCCTTTCATGTGCTGCAGTCTGCCCCGTACTGTACTTCCCAGCACTATAGTGTTACACCTCCTGGGTACGCATGCTAATGCCTTTTAAGCAACTGCGACTTTATGATGTGGTTCAAAGCAATTTGGACCAATGTGATGAATCTGGCCGAGGAGCCCAACAATTGATATTTAATTAATTGTGCAAGTGTTTGGTCTCAATCTGCAGAAACTAAAGAGATTAATGTCACTTGGATGTTTTCTCTAACGTTGTCTGGACGATGGCAGACGGAACAAAACGTAGAGGTGGCTACGTCTCACACACACACAAGGGTTCATATTGAATCAAAAGAATAATTTATATAAATGAAGATTTTATTGTTTGTTTGGTTTCTAATAACTTCTGCTTTACTGTCACAGCCCAACATAGTCATAGTCCGAAAATGAAGCTTGGCTTACTCACTTTTTTCCAGAGCTTTCTGCTCCAACACAGTCTTCATCAGTCTGTCGTGGATCTGTTGACACATCAGGAGACATCGTGATTATTTTGATACAGTAAATCGACTTAAGGTGAAATTGTTATTTGTATATTTAACAGAGAATAAGACATCTCCCCAAAAGTGACATTAAAGGTGATAAATCCCACCTCCTCCATGTTCATGAACAGGATGTGGACCAAAATAAAGAGTCAATGTAAACATCAAATACATTTTTCTCACAAAATGTTTTCTGAATTGTAGGTAGTTCTTATCACACTGTTCAAAAATATTCATGTTTCAGATAAGATGATGCTAAAAACATCATGACAGCTCAGACTGACTCATGATGAAGGGCGTACATGTTAGTAACAGGGATATTTTGGTTTAACTCTTGCATAGTGGGATGAAGTGGAGATGGGTCGTCCATCTTTATATTCAATGTTTGGCCACATATGTTATAGCGATTTGAAAGTTTGTTACTTTGAGGTCGTCTGTGATCGTACCACCAAGATTTTGACGAATTAGCAGAACTGTTGCATCTTCTCTTCAGGACCTCTCTGATGTTCAAATCAGTAAATCACACTTTGCACACTTTTCCTTTAACTGCAAATGGACAAACAACACCATTGTCCGTGAATGGCTGTTTTAAGCTACACTGCTACGCCCTCCTGATTGGTATCTTCCCTGTATGACTGTAACACTGTGCAGTGTTTCTCTGCGTCTCCTTAACCACCGTTTGCGCAACATCCATCGTAGTGTTTTGAAACATCCTGTCCACAGGAAGAGTGGGCTGAAAACAGAGCCCCTCACCGGCTCCAGCGGTGAGTAATTTGATGTAATTGCACCGTGGGTGAAACCTTTGAAGACCCAGTTTGTGTTTTGAGTGAACTAATGATGATTAGAGCTTGTTCACTTGTCAATAGCGATTAAAGGTGCAACCACTTTTAAAAAGCATATCTTGTTTAATCATGAGCCCAAATTAAATATTGTTTTTTAAAAAACACCAAGACATACAGTAGTGTGTCTGCCTAACAATATAATCATTAGGGGTATTTGTTCACTGTCAGGAACCAGGATGATCAACAGTACGTGACTGACTGTGGGATCAACCATGTGGAAGGGACAAAAGAATATATTTACATTTTCGCTGCAGGGAAAAACTGTGTCGGTTACAAACAATACGCAGAGCGAGGAGACTCGAGGCTTGAAAGGCTGCCGCTCGCACCACATGATATAGATTACCTTCGGAGAAATCTGGGCGCCCATTAACGCCACTGTTTGATCTCAATGGCACAAATTGATCCAAGGTGAAGAAATTGTTGCGTAATTATGATTGATGATGACAAGAAGGGGAAATGATTTGTGCCTTTACATCCTCAGTTCCTATAGGGAGCTCAAATGAAACATGAAGATGAGGAGCTACTAAAACCAGGAACACAGCATTTATTTAATTAGGTGACTACTGTATTTCTACTATTCCTCGTTGGCACATTTCAAAGACAATAAACTGTCTTTTAGGACAATACAGATAAATATTTGAAGGATATATAATCATAACAAATGTGTAAATATGTTTTTTTTATATATTTTTTAAAAAGGTCCAAGAGGTTTTGAAAGGTGCATTATTGACCTTGTACATTAATGAGGTTATATGTTTGCCTTGCAATCAGAATATTACATAACTAGAATTACACTCAGTCGAGCACATACTTCCCCCGAGGCCCAACAGTCCTGTTTAAGTCAACCAAGCTGCATCAAATTTCACAGACTCATAGATATGAGTCCCCTGAATGTGTTCATCAAGATCCATGATTTATTCTCTGGGAAAACCCATCTAGTAATGTTCAAAAAATGTTTTATGGGTTAATGGACCAAGTTTTGTGGAAATCCACTCAGTGGTTCTTGTGCAATATTTCTCACAAGCAAACAAATGTTTGAAAATGTTACTGAAATGTTAACCTTCTTCTGATTAGCATGTTACTATGGCACGTTCTAAAATGCATCACAGCTATTTCTGTCATTGGTCTACTGCAATATCTGGTCAATCAGTGGAAGTACGTGCAGATATTCATCTGTATTAATTTAGTAATCACTTCATCAAGGAAAAGAGGACAATTCAAACGAAATCTTGTTTGTGCAGGAAATTCACAATATGGAACACATTACACACAACACACCCTGAACACATTAATGTGTTAAACTACATTTAAGGCCCGGGGCCAAACAGTGTGATCTAAAGCACAGTTCATAAAGGACCCTGCCTGTTTACTGATACATTCAACTTAAAAACATACGCTTGAACCATTTCATTTTTACACCTATGATAAAGTGAATTATTTGGGATGTTGATAATCTGAAGAATATAACATCGACAGCCCAAATCTGTGAAAACATATTCGATTTTCACATTCCCCCCCCACAGACGCTCAAGCCTTCCACGTTTTCTTCCGCCAGCCTCAATTGACAGGAAGGATTTGTACAGTGGTGGGGCATCTGTGACTCAGTGTCTAGAATAACTCACTAAATAAAGAATATAAGCAATCTGCTCTCGTTTCACTCAGTGCACCTTTCTCCTTCCCTGTTGCCAGGGGGACGACCAAATGCATTTCGTATGCAGCCGCCGCGCTTCACTGCCTTCCGAGCTCAGAGCAGAATCATGTTCCACTTTAAAAACGTTAATTTTACATTTTTAATGACCGGCTGATGGCTTTTAGTAAGTGAGTACTGCTTACATGGGAAGATGTGATGTTCTGGAAATCCTCTCACACTCCTGCAAATCCTCATCCTGGATTAAATGATCTGTCCTGGTGAGACGTGGTTATATTTGTGGACCTAGGAGAAAAAAATGACTTAAAGTTTGCAATATTCAAAAGGATTCATATAGAATAAAAAAGTTATATTTTTGGATGCAAAATCTACTTTTTCACATCACTGTTGCACACACATGCATCATGTGTTAACTTGCTGCAATGGAATCCAGTTAGTCAAGGAGATTCCTCGATTTCATGGCTGGTTAGGCTGATGCCAGGATTATCTCTTGTTATTTTAAGGCATATAATACAACATTATGACTTAATGGGATGTGTGAAATCAGTTGGAAGACACCGGGGGGGGCGCCTCTCATAGAAACATCTACAGAATGCAGTTCCTGCTAAAGGAAAGATTATGAATTGCTGACCAAAGCTCTGTATCCAAAGGGAGTGATTTGACACGTAAAATCGTCATTACGCCTCCACATTAAGAGTTCAGTTGTGCAGCGAGTGAAAACTGTGCAGCCTTTTGAACATGAGGTCATCCACTCTTTCCTCTTTTTTTTTTATAAAAACGCCCTCCTCTTCCCAGGGGTCAGCTCACTGCCCAGTGTTGGGAAGTGAGGTTTCAAAGTGTCTGAGATGTGAGCTAAGTGGTTTATAGCACAAATTCTGCTTTTTTTTCCCTCCTCTGCAGTAATTAGCTTGTGCTCAGCGCTGTCATATTCAGAAGTGCATCTGCCTATGAAAAAAAAAAACAGGGCAAGAAAACAAGAGGCCAGGCCTCCCCAGGGTCAGTGCCCACCGCAGCCTGGATTATGGCACCAAAGGAATCCTGGGAAGCGTGTATTGATTTGGCCTGACACTTGCTGCCACATTTAGCTTCGCCGCTGCTGACTCGCAAAGGCTTCAAGCAGTTATCTGCCACATTCTCTACTATCTTTAAAGAGCAATGAGAAATTACCTCGTGCCACAGAAGATTTATCATCACATAATTAGCCCGGTGCACCTAACGGCAGATCACTCTCGACTGCGAATACGAGCTTAAAGTTCATGTGCACGGGACTATGCTTAATTAACTTTCAGCATGAGCATGCGATGACGAAAACACTGGCCTTTATAAACAAGGTTTCACAGACTGTGCTGCACTGTGAGGTCCGACAGTGGATCAGCACCTCAACACATCAGTGCAGGAAAATAAATCCAGTTCATAAAAGATATAGTTGCACATTGTCAGAGGCATTTTTGTTTTGGGGTAGACAGTCATTACCTCTCGCTGCCTCTAATCCCCTGTTGCTGATCTGGATTAGGGGCCAGATTCTCTTCCATGGATCCTGATGGGAAAAAAAAGAGAATAAGGAATATTTAGAGACCTGATATCTGTAAATGTCTATGTTATAATTTGTTTAGCTTGATTTAATTTAAAGGGACTGTTGGTTTGCACTCTCCTGAGAGCTCTTTTCTTTGTAGGAATTAATAAACTCCATATTATATACTCATTCTGCACAGGTTGAGCAGCCTCCTTGGTCTTTTTCCAGCCATCCACTGACTCCATCCACTGGTCCACAGCTCCAGCCCCTTACTGTGACAGGTCTGGGTTGTAGGTCACATGATGACACCTGCGCAAACTCAAGCTGCTGAAAAAGACAAGAAGATGCAACAAAAAGCTCTAAAACTGTCACATGTATCTTCGGTTAAGGTATTTTTGACAAATTTATACATTTTGATTAACAGCATTACTATAGACAATATGCATAGGACATAAATGTACATTATTAGCAGGTGGAATACAATAGGGACGTAGAGCTCGTCACAGTGCGACTGTTAATTGTATCAGCCATTTGAATATTAGTAGAGTTGACAGATTTGAGCCTTTTACAGACGAATATCAGTTTCTGTGAACAGAACTTTATTGTTCACCTAACTATGTCTTTGTCTCACCAACAAACAATCAACATGAGGACACACGATCATAAGAACAAGCAACAACATAAAACTACAACGGGAGGTTAGGTACACAATGTTGCCAACTGACTCTGCAGAGTAAAAAATGAATGATGTGTCAAATATGTGTGTTTACTTTGTCTTATATATTTGGTTTTGTTTGTGTTTTTCGTCTGTAGTGATTTATGATCTTTGTCATAAGGGCTGGATAATGACATCAGAAAATGTCAGCCATCCATAACACTAACCAAATATCACAACGTAGAATGAGGAAAACTAAGATTCAAGCTTAAAAAGGCATGACACAGACATTTTAACAGAACAGGAGCAGATATAGGACTTTACATCTCTAGCCAGACTACAGACACCGTCACAGAATTCAAAGCATCAGCTCAGAATGTTTGCACAAGCAGCCGTATTTAAGCTCTGCACTCGTGACATATGATCCGTTATGTTTAGTGAAATTTGGTCCAGTGTCATGAGCAGATTTGACTCCTCACAAGCCCAGTGTTCACATTCCCGCTCAGCTGTAAACATCTCATCACCCACTGTTGCTGCTCTGCACGATTCCGGGCAACTGCTTTGTGCAAAGAGCAACTCTTGGCAAAAAACTTCTTCCGGAATCATCCAACACTTTAGCCTTTGGAGAACCCATTGGCTTTAAGTGGCCAAATGCCATCTTCTTTTATTCATGTGATGGCACTTGTGCGCCCTTTAATCCGGCACTCTCTCCAAGCAATAGTATAAGTCTCACCCCTTTCCCCTTCTACAACTGTCAGCCAGATGTGATTTCTCGTTTTAATGTTTTCCATTTGATTTAATTCTCTGGGCAACAGTTGTACCATCACAAGGCATCTTCCTCTGCATCTCTGTCAGCTACAAATGCAGTTGTGGGAGAGCACTGGATGAAATGGGCAAGGACAGCTTCACAACCGCCAGGGGTGTTATTCTAAGATCAGGCTGGAATCAGAAGTTTTGTCGGTTTCAGTTAACCAAGCCGCCGCTAAATGGCTTAAGCCGGGTACGGGAGAAAGCTCTGAGATGTCGCTGCTTGACAGCTAAAGTAGCCGGACATGTACCCAGCCTAAAGAGCCCTCAGGCTTTCTCTTCTTCATGACTGACTTTTAAGTGTTTTATCCGTGGGACGCAGCGATAATGTGCATTAAGATCAAGAACACTTATTTCAATTGTGCTTCATGTTTTATTCTGGCCCTAAATTCGGCAGCGTCTAGACATGTGCGTTGCCGAGAATAACTCACATGGGAGGATCCCAGACTGTGAGAGCAGAGTTGACTTTAAGTAGGCAAACATTCTTCTTCCCTATTATTTTGTTGCCATAAAGGAATTTGCCTTTTATGCTTCGTTAAAAATGCAAAGCCAAAGCAAAACAATTTCTCTCAACACATTTCCAACATATGTTAAGGGTATAAATATACATTACTGAGGAATTAATCTGTGCACTGGTCCCCTCTGGATAACAGGCATGATAGCAGTATCTGTGTGCATGTGGTTTTGAGGATGATGCTTGTCTGATTTCTCTTATTTTTAAAGAAAAATAAGAAAAGACAATAATCCAAACCTACAAAGTGTCAGTCCAAAGCCTGCTGGTTCTACTTAGGCTATAAATTTTATAAGTCAGTCGTGTATTTGGACTAGAGAGTACAGTAGGAGGATGTATATGACTATCATAGACTAGGTAGACAATATGACAGTTCTTTCTGAAGCTGAAGTGTCTCCATCACCACCTGGTGTCTGGCTGCAGTACAAGTCATAAATCCTTTCAGCATCTTTCTCTCAAAGACGGTTTCTATAATTTTAGTAAGCTCTTATCACACTGAATGATTTTAAGTGTATTTTTCAAATAAGTTTGGGTTCAATTAGTTATTTGATGCTGTAAAAACAGGGTGAAATGTCATGACAGGTGAAAATAACTCACCATTGGTCAAGCGCGTGTATTCACGGACCCTCGACACCGTGGCTCCATCCCCAGATCGCTACCGCACCGACTCTGGCTCCGAATGCACAAGATGGCAGCGTTTGGCGACTGCAGATATTTTGGCTTCCTTTCTGGACAGTGGGAAGAAGTGAGAGGAGTCATCCATCATTACATACATTGTGTTAGAGGTATAGTACAACAGTGTGGTTCACTGACAACAATAATTACCTTCAAAACAATGTCTTCCAGAAAACAGGACAAAGTTACACATTACATTTCATTAAAGTATACTAAGAGGCACATCGACATTCAGTAGAGCGCGTTTATTCAGGCCGAACAATCCTACACATGATCATCTAGTTCTCATAGTAGAAATATAAAAGTCATCTGATGACCTAAATTATTTGCCATTAAACAAAGTCTTAAAAAGTGGACATGAAAATCAATGTCACATATTTTACTCTTTAACTATGCGTACCCGCTCAAGAGAAATAAACTTAACACAGTATTAAAACAACATGTCACAAATAGAGAAGCTACAGTTTTAACAACAAATCATTTAAAGACATTTGAAAATATGCAGCAGTTAAAGACCCAGCACCAAAACTTCATTATTCATGTTTCTGTTTATTTTACAGGGACAATGCAAAAGAGAAAGATTGATACACATGTTCCGCATGAAGAATTCTACATGTTCCGTCCCTGGTTAGGGTTTTCTAATCTAAAGAGAGGTCACAATACATCATCACAAGAAAACACACACAAATAAATTAGTAGGTTTTGCATAATCCTGCAAACAATCAATTATACATGGGTGAAAACTTTACAGAAGTAAATATCAGCAATACACATGACTCTCAATGCCTCTGTCCAGGTAACAGGAGTTTCCTCCTCCCCCTCCTCCTCCTCCTCACACACACAGGTGACATCAATTACAGTCCATGAGGGTTTGGAGGAGAAACAAAGATGTGGTAAAACATCGCAGCTTGTAAGACTCCTGACAAATCATTAAGAATAAGAAACACACAGAAGAGCATCTGAGTTCAAGCATCCGAGCCCAAAAAGAAACCAGTGAAATACAACACGTGTCAATGCAGCAGAATATTCCTTCTCTCTTCTGCTCTCTGACTCAATGAATTTAACTCCAAGTGTGAAAAAAGTCAATTTATTCACATCCACACAATAGAAAAGCTCCAGAAAACTATCATTACAGAAACACACAGCTTCAAACCTCATCAATCACAGGCTGGGGATCTTTAAACAGACGGGAACTGACAAGAAGACTCTACATTTGTCCTGTGGCCTCTTTGTTGCACCAAACCAAGACTTATCTGAGCCAAGCATGGACCAAGAAACCAAACAACTCACCCATGCTGTCATCTACACACACACACGTGCTTATGAGCAGAGTCAAATAAAATCCAGTCTGGAAACACCACGACACTGAAACGTGAACAAACTTCCTCCAAAAGAAAGAACAGGAAGTCTCACCTGTGCGATTTAGAGACACCTGCAGGAAGCGCGCTAATTTACGGACTGTTGCGTCATCACTTCCTGGTATTCGACCAATCAAGACGTCACAGATTTTTCAGAAATCCCGCCCCTTCCCCCGCTCTGGTCAAATCAAACTCCTGCTTGAGAATCCCGGAAATGCACCACATAAATAAATGAAGCACATCAGAAACCCCACTTTAAAAGCAATTTGCACTTTTGCATAAAACTTGCATACGTTTTCCTCGATCGTACAAGGAAAACTGCAGTTTCTGTACAACTGTGCACTAGTTTTTCAAGAAGTACAAACATTATCACATGACTACAGAAGTATTTTTTACCATTTATCAACATTAAATTGTTTTATTTATTCAGTCTTATCAGGGTTTTTTTTTTGCACCTATAAACAAAAAGACAGGTAAATATGGCATAAAATACAATTTGCTATTTGCGACAATAAAAGAGATTCAAAGCCGCCGCAACTCTTCAGGGCTTCGATTCCACAAGATGGAGTTTGTTGATTTTGCGAACATGTTATTTATAATGTGGACAAATGATTTACATATTGCACACAACCAAAGTTTCATAAGTGTTGCACGTTTGTTTACTTCAGAGAGATCAACGAGCTGCGTTAATGAAAATGAACGTTTGCGTGGCGCCGCCTGTGTCTTACAGCTGAGCGAGCAGACGCCACCTCCATACAATATCCCCTTTGAACCTTCCCTATGAGAGAGTATCAGAGCGTTTCAAGAGCAAATCAAAACATGCGAACACAATCAAACTCTGCAGGAAGATGTCAACAAACACGATTGGTCATCAGGGCCTGCGGGTCACAGTAAAGCCTGTGTGGCCTTGTTGTATGGCGACCTCTGACCGTCACACTAAAGGACAAACCCCAAACAAACCAACAGAAAAAAGGCGACAAAGAGACCCTCAAATCCTCAGCGTTACCTCCCAGGTTCATAAACACACAGCCTCTTATTTTCAAAGGGAAGTGACTTCTACAGCCGAGCAGCTGTATTTTCTATTGTTAGCTTCTGTTGTGGCTGGGGATCCCATCACTATTAAAGTGGAATCACCTTAACCCAGTTGGACCAGCTTTTTTCATAGCTGAGGAGTTTTCCACAAGAGCGATCGGTGGGGTTTTGTATACACTCACGCTCGACTGGTCGCATTATCTTTGCTTCACGTGTTTCCCCCTCGAGTTTGTTCAGGGTCCGTAACAAAGAAAGTGGCTTATTATCACTCACTGGAGGAGTTGTCTGCACATGTACGATTTGGTAATTGCCGCCGCTTAACAAGCAGACTGAATTGGACTTGACATTGAGCCATTATTGGGAAATGAAATGCTGTTTTTGCAATTATGGGAGTTTGGCAGGGCTCAGTGAATCTCCCCTGAAAAAAATAAACGGGACGACAGTAATAATGTATGATTTTGGAGGTTTTCACTCACAGTGGGTGAACTTTATGAATGAAAGAAGATTTTGATGTGGTGGATTGTTACGCATCAAATCAGTGACGGCAGCAGTTTCATTCTGTCTCATCTCCACTTTTATATACACCTGTTGCAGATCGGGTCACATAACATCAAATCTAATTAACTTAGTATGTTGAGAGTGAAAAGACGTTTGCAGCTGATGGATCAATAAACAAACTAAGACACTTCACATCTCAGTTTCAATTCAATTCAATTCTTTTACTCTTTTATATTTCTCTCTACCAAGGAGGTTGTTTTCACTTGTGTCCGTCTGTTTGTTGGTGGACTTGGTGGAAGCCCATATTAAATATTTAAGTTTGTATATAATACTCAGTCATATCTTAAAAATCATTTAATTTACGTGTTAAAAAGTCATAATTAAATAACCCCCCCCGCTGTGACACTGGCACCTGGAGGCACTACACTCACATGGTGGACTGAGCGTTCATAAATAGTCATAGTTACAAACTGATCTGGAGGAGGGACGTAAGCGTATTAACGCTCCTCTGAGAACAGAGAGCAGGTTCACTGAACTGAAATGGGGCGTCACTTACCTACTTGCCAGAAGCGTGACGCTAACACAACACGGCAGCTCAGGGCAGCTCTCTGCTACTTTCTCAGCCTCACCGAGTAATTGGTGACCCAGCACCCCACCTGACATGGGTGGCTCGAGGTGTTGGCCCCCAGAGAGGCATGACGGGTCAGTCCAATGTGGGATTGTCGTATGTTTGCTAAAAGAAAAGCATGTGACGAGTCAAAGCAGCCAGGCTTGAATGCAGAGTGCTACAGGTCTTATTTGACACTGTTTGGTTTGGGTGACGCTTCAGTCCAGTCACTCTGTATACATCCATGTGAGGGATTATTGTGACACTAATGTCAAATTTAATGTTCCTTGTTAAGCGATAGACAAAACCTTTACTTAGATAAATAACAAATACCTTCACCGTCCATCTATTATCTATGATGCTTATCCTTTGAGGGAGGTCGACAATCCAACTCCACAAAGTTGTCAGGTTCAAACTCAGAACCTTCTTTATGTGAAGCTGAAGTGCAAACCGCTGCACAACCGAGCCGCCTGAATACACATATCAAAAAACATCCAATCTAACATTGTTAAAGAAAGTGATAAAACTAATTCCTGGATCTGCACCAAAGGTTAATTGGTTCTTTCTTGGCCAATGTTCCATCCATCCACCTTGTTTTGTTGAAATCTCTACAGTTTTGTACTATCTAGCTAACGTAGACAAAAAACAAAGGTACCTCAAAAGTTGACAGTTCCTCAATTTCGTTAAGAATCTGTCAAACATCCTCTCAGAATTTGTACAATATGATTCCTCAAGCTTATTTTTAATGACCTGGCAACATCTTTTAAATCTTGAGTGTGCCTGGCTTGGGCCTCTCGTGTAATCAATAACTTCACATTTAAGATTTGTGCGGCCTCCCTCTTCTAATATATTAGAAATCTGAACATTCCAATTACAATATATGATGATTTCCACAACTTGAACTTCCCTCCTTCATGTCACCGGGTCAGTATTTCTCAGCCCGACTCTAGATGGAGGTTTCTCCTCTGCTGTTTGGTGAGTTTGGTGCCAAATCATGTGTTCGTGTTTTGTAAATCCCCTGAGAAGCCTGGTACTTTCTTTTTCATCCCACTGACTTGTCATGGGTCATGTAGTTCACTAACTGGACTCCCTTCTATCCTTCTGTAATAGTATTCCTCGACCTTTGTCTGGGGGTAATTTGCTTTTCCCATGCTTCTCCAGTGACCTCACATAAAAATCCTTCAGAGCTGTTTTGATTCGAAGATTTGGGACTTCACCAGACCCTGGGGCTGGTGATGCTCTTGCAGGCTCCATTTTCTGCTACTTTTCATTATGGCAGTCTCGTCTCCTTTAGGTGCTTATAGGTGAATTTATGTTGTTGTGATGGTTGCTTCTTAGATGATCATGATTTTAAGGCAATAGAAGTCACAAGATGTTGACTAAACTGATCTCTTCCATAAGACTGATGAATAGAAAACACTCCTTCCTTTCCCATGTGTGTGGGAGGTGGATTCTGGATCATAGACTGTCGTAAATCGTAAACCATATGGATTAAACCGTGAAGGTGTAGCATTAAAGTTGTACCTGTTAAAAAAACAAACAAAAAAGAGTTTTCATTTTGTAGTTGAGTGCGGTGCATAGTTCAAATCCTGAGGAGAAAAGAAGACTTTTCAGGTGAAGAATTGCATTAGATGTCATATGTTTTTATCTTTCTCAAATCTTTGCTTGTTTTTTGTGATAAAATGACCATAAAGTGTCCTAAATAAACATTCAGAGAAAGGAAAATTACTCTTTTGTGGAACTACTCACATGTGAGAATGACTTGAAGTTAGAAAATGGATTACACAGGTTTATTATAAGGAAGAAAACAAAACACTGGTTTAGATGACTTCAGTTTTCAGAGGTACTGGTAGCTTTAAAATGTATCATGCTGTGTGTTGATTTTCACAAACAAAATAAATATAAAATAAAATTGTTTGACCCATAGTATGTATAATATGCAGTGTAATTCTAGTCAATGCAATGAGGTCATTGTAGAGGTAATAACTTTCTTACCTGCATAAAAGAAGCTTCACAGCAACGACTGAAAGCTAAAAGTTGTTGCCACAGACTAACAACAGAAATAAACCTTGACTCAGCATTACAACCATGACACACGTGCACAATAATATTTCTGCTGTTTCTGAAGTGTGTAGTAACTCAGGTCAGAAGTTGATGTAGCCTGCCCCCTGGTGGTCGTTTGGCTTCATAACCGACTACAAATGAAATAATTGAGCCTTATAAAAGCAGGTCCTTCATTTAGAATAAAACAATGACCTGTGTAAACTTTAATCACATTAAAATTCTTTATTTATGCTGTAAAATACAAATATTAGTCTTACATTTGATCGGAGTTGCACACTCAAGCAGACTCAAAGCTTTCTGTTACATCCTGATTGACGCTCACTGTGGGTTAGAGGTGCTTATATTAAGATTTTATAAAAACATCAAGCACTAAAAGTGTGAAAGCTCAGGCCAGCCAGCGTTACACGTTTCAGCTGTGTATATACATTCAAAAAAAAGCAGCTCGTCCTTTACATGGAAGCCTGGCTTGAGTGTATACCTGCATGACTTCTCTTTTTAAAGCTCTAGTAGTGTTGTAGCAGCCAGGTGGGGGCAGGTATACCTGGCAGGACAAAGTAGCTCCACCACCAGGGCTTCTCTGCTCTCTCCTCACGGTTCTGGCTCAGGTCAGCCGTCAAGGTGTAGCGCTCGTACTGGTTGTAAGGGTCAAATCGGTCGTAACCAGTTGAGATGGCGAGGTCCTCCTCCTGCATGTCGAGCTCCAGCGGCGCTTTCTGCAACACGAAGTCCACCCGGCCCGCCGTTTGCATACGATGAGGCAGAATGACTCTCTTCCAGACTCTGGTGTAGCCCGGGGCTGTGGCGCTCACAATGTGGCTGCCGGGGCTGAGGAGGCGCCAGTATTCTCCAGTCTCACCTGGGGGGAGACAAGGCACAATGTACTTTTG